TGTTTACCCCCTTACAAAAGATTTTGATAATTTCCAATAAAATTAAACAGTAGATTTATTCTTCTTAATGTAAATTAATGTAGAATAAATGCAAATACTATTTTCTTTTTTTGTACCGATCGTTCTATCGCAGCGAGTTAACGGAAAACACGATAATATGCACAAATTGACATCATAAATATGTTTTTGTTGTAACATAATGTATAAGAATTTTGATTTTCCATCTCATTAATTTTCAAAAAAGACATCTAACCTTCGTGAATTTTCCCAAAAAATAATGCAGGTTTACCTCGAATTTTGATATTGAATTAAATAGAATTACATTCAAAAACTTACATAAAGCTAATCTACCATCATTGAACTACTGAAATATGTATATATTTTTATAATTAGTCCATTAATAATTATTTTCTAAGACTCGAAACACCCGTAAAATGCAATATATACTAGTGCAAATGTACCTACGCGCCGATCAGTACGACAGCGGAGCAATTTTGTAAAAGGGCTCTTAAGTAACAAAAATACAAACTTTAAAATTTATAATAATTTATTTTATTTTATTAGGCCATTATAATTACCGTTTGAAAGTATGGGCTACTTTGCGTCAAATCAGTTAGGTAAATCGGAGTTTTTGTAGACTAATTTATAATAAAAAACTGGCTTTTTTAGCGTTAAAATCGCTAAAATCTGATAACGAGCAGCAATTTTTGCGAATTTTTCTATATTTGATTAAGTTGTGATTGGCGCTGGAGGACACAAACTTGTATTTTTCAATGTGCCAACATCATAAATAAGTCTCAGCCAAGCATAACGCGGAGAATGCTCTGTGTTTGGTCAGGGAATGGCTAGCCATCAACCTTCTCACACTTAACCTGGAAAAACCCAGGTTCATTCATCATCATCATCCGCCTATTAATGTCCCCACTTCTGGGGCACAGGCCTTTCCTATGGATGGAATAGGGAGATTAGGCTATGACCCACCTCGCGGGCCCAGTGCGGATTGGCGGGTGCTAAAGACTGCAGATGCAGCCGGGACCAACGGCTTAACGTGCCTTCCGAAGGAACTCGAGATAGAAGATTTTTGGTCATCCATCCAATGACCGACCACTGCGAAAGTTGCTTAACTTCAATGATCGCAGCCGACGCGCTAGCCACCTGTGTAATCGAGCTCCTCGACACTTAAATAACTGTAAATAAATAAATACATGGATTGGACAGCCATATTTTGAAGTCGGCGACACATGGGGGTCACACACGGGGCGCTATCCCCACTGAAAACAACTCATTTACAAACAATTAAAGCACGGTCCGCCACAATGTCGCGGCCGTATGCGACAAAAAGCAATTGTAAGTAACGGCTAAAGTAACTAGGCGCTTCGGAAAAGGGCCGAAAGTAATTTATGTCTGCAAATATTTGTTAAAGTAAAATTGTTACTAACAAACTGTGGACATATTCTAAAAATAAAATGATATTATTCTTATTATCGTGGCGGACCGCCACAATGTCGCGGCCGTATGCGACAAAAAGCAATTGTAAGTAACGGCTAAAGTAACTAGGCGCTTCGGAAAAGGGCCGAAAGTAATTTATGTCTGCAAATATTTGTTAAAGTAAAATTGTTACTAACAAACTGTGGACATATTCTAAAAATAAAATGATATTATTCTTATTATCTCATTTATTTTATTTCATAGTTAGGTTTTTTTTTATAAAATAAATATAGCAAAAAACAAAATCTTAAATACAAAAATAAATATAGTACAAAAAACCTAACCTAGAACGCCACCAGCAGCTAGAGTTGCCACTTTTCTTTGTCGAAATCATGTACATTGAATATTAAAGGTAGAAAAAAAAGTACATTGTGTCCAAAATAAAGTACTTTTTATTCCAATTTTATTAATACGCTTAAAAATATATTTTACGATGCTACTAGCAACTTTAAATAAAAAAATTGCGGCTACTGTAGTTTTTTACCGCAATGGGAAAGGTCATGGTACAAATTCACACAGCCACGAAAATGTTGCAGGAATTAGCTAAGGGCAACATATTCGTTCTTTCTGTCCGTTTTACGCAAAAATTTTTCCTATCAACCTTTTTTTGTATATTTTATGTAAAAATAATCCGCGAGTAATCAAATCACATTAAATAAAGTATTTTCGCGTACTTTATTGTTGGCAAGCAAAGTATAGACTACAATTACCCGAAATAAAGTACAATCTATCTATCTATATATATAAAACTCAAAGGTGACTGAATGACTGACATAGTGATCTATCAACGCACAGCCCAAACCACTAGACGGATCGGGCTGAAAGGCATGCAGGTAGATGTTATGACGTAGGCATCCGCTAATAAAGGATTTTGATCAATTCTACCCCCAAGGGGATAAAATAGGGAATGAAAGTTTGTATGAAACTTTGTCAATTTTAAACCGATCGGGCTGAGACTTTGCGTGCAAGTATAAGAATAATCATAGATGAATGTCATTGTGTATAATACAAGCCTGAGAACAAAAACTGTAGCGTACACTTCAGCTCTACATCGAAGCGAAGCGAGGGCGGGCCGCTAGTACTTTATAATAAAGTACGGGTGACAACACTACCAGCAGCGGAGCTAGGCCCAAGCTACGGGTGGTTAGGGCCGCAGACAAAGAAACCGCCTGACGATGCGCACTGTGTCCAGGAGTACGGCCTTTTGTCTCTGCCCCATGACAATTAGTAATTAAATTATTATTTTATTTTCGGGTGAATTTGTACTAGAGTCTGTGCGGAAAGAGAATGGGCGTGGCGAAAAACGGAACTAACATTAAGATTTATTTAAAGCAATCCAACCCAGCCATCTGTTAAACAACAAAGTTTCGTATTGATACAGATTTGTTTGTTGTTGTGATTTCTTGCGGTTTTTTGTTTTTTATCATATCTAAAAGGGGTAAAACCTTAGAAATGCGGTAGAAAATCACTACAGCGCCCTCCAATATAAATCCCATTCTCTTTCCGCACAGACTCTAACCATAGTTCAGTCTATGATGTTGAAATACACCCACCTATCCACTCTGGACCCGCGTGGTGGGTCCTGGCTTAATCTGTACACCAGCAGTGGGACATTATTAGGCTGATGATGATTATTTAAGTAGTTCAGAAAGTATGATAATGCACTACTTATAAGGGGCTAGCATATGCAGTCCGTAATGGAAGTTTAGCATCTTTCGTAATCATTATTATCACCTCAGCCGTACGATGCCCACTGCTGAGCACAGGCCTCCCCCAACACGAACCCATATCGAATTCGTATCGTTTGCCAGTCCGAAATGTCATTGTCAAATGTGTACTGATTTTTATTTTTCGTTACGTACTTTGTGCCGCTGCTGTTCTGTCTAAGTTTCCATACAAAATTTGACATTTACATTTCGGTTTGCAAAATATTCGAATTCGATTCGGTTCGTGCTAGGGGTACAGATCATTTCTTTTACTTTCGTAATGGCTGGTAGTAATAGGTTGAGAGACGAAAATTGTATTTTCAAATAAAAAAAATGATTAACTTTTAATCTGATATCGCAAGTGGACCCAATGTCATATTATGTAAAACTGATAATGCAATTTGTAGTGTTATTTAAAACACTAAATTGTTAAGTTTATAATTCTAAATATTTTTTACTAGAAAATCTAGATTTACGTGTTTGTTAGTGCAAAGTCAATATTTGATGTGACCTACCAAAGCATCTAGACATTTCTGAGGCCAATTATTGTACTTGTTGTGAAAACACGTTTTTTATATGATAATGACGTACGAATAAATTATAACAGTAAGTAACTAAATACGATTTAGGTACGCATTCACCGCGACATCGCTTTAAATTATATAAAGGGTGTTCTCGTAACTCACTTTATTAAAGAGTTATTGAATGGGATTTGTTTAATGGAATTTGTTTGTTATAAAAAGTTTCTTGTATATGTGGGTTTGTGTATTAATTTTGATATAAGCATTAACGCAATGTTGATAATAACTCTTAAAGTTTTATATGCCAGTTGAAATTTAGCTACATCGAGCAATCAATTAGAAAACTTGTAGAAGATAACAAATTTATATATACAGAAAATACAGAAGAACTTACACATTATTATACGAGAAGAGATACTATAAGGTATATAATATAAAATGGATATATAAAGTTATATTTTCAAAACAAATGCCTTTATTTAGTTTATTAGCTTTCAAACATAGTTGATCGAAGTTTGAACCTATTCATTATGAAGTTAGTTTGTATGGATATAAATAGATATTAAGTGAAATATTAGCTAATATGTCCAGCCTGTTTGGTCTAGAGAAGAAGAAGAGAAGGGGTATTTAAGTTAAATATGAAACCTTATATATGTCTGCCGCACACATTTTAATATCATAACAAGAAGTTAAACTGTACCACAGTTATTAAATTAAATTTAACTTGTCATAAGTTATGTTTCCGGTTATTGCAGTACGTGACACTAACAGCGCCATCGGGCTTAACTGAGCTTTATGTCAAATTTAGCACAGTTTCCGCAGTACTTGGCGTAAGAAAGCTTTAGTGCTTAATTTTATCGAATACTTCCTGTTTTTAAGTATTACCGGTCAAATAAATTATCGCCGAATGCATCAAGATTTACTATATTTAAGTATATTCAGTCAAAGAAATTAGACTAGATATGTGTTTAGATATGGTTAAATAAATAAAACACTTTGATAAAATCTAACCCTCTCCTTTTAACAGTAATTAGGTAACCTAACAACTACAACTAAATGTGGCTATTTTGAAGTGCGTTAGTGATAAAGATTCAACAATGGTTATGGCAAGTGTATATTTATTTATCTGCTACTATTGTCATTTTTGAGAATTTACCAAAAAGCTTATTTATACGGCAAAATCAAATAACATTGCAATGAAAAAGTTTGAAACGCAACGGACTTCGGTATCACAAAAACGAAATTGTCATAAGTTAAGTTTGTGGCGCTTAAAAAAAACATCAGCCTGTAGGTGAGATTTTTTCAATTGTCCATTTTATAAAGATAGTTTGGTGCGCGCACGGCACAGACGGTGCGACGGTGCCGGTTGGTGTCCACGGTTCGATTCTCAGTGTTCAAGTTGATAAGTTATTTACTTTGAAATTACTAAAGGTAAGTGTGACTTAAGAACTTCCTTGTTAAATAGTTTCCAGTGTTTCGTTGCATTTCCAGTTACAAGAGGTACTTACTAACGACATAGTGCACTAACTCGGTTTCATATTTTGGACAATTGGTTCCCCCGTTATTAGTAAATAACAAGAGAGGTAGCAAATTTTCTGCTCTAATTGGAATCCCCACATTATGGAAGATCACATAGATAGATAGATAAATCATTTATTCCCATCAGTACAGCATACAAATTCAAGTAAACAAATAGAACAATTAATTACTAAATATGTAACTGTGTGCCGCAACGACAGAAAAAGGCAAAAACTCAGCGATACCTTTGCTCTGAGAGCAAAGCACTGGTTTTCAGTTCTGCCTAGAAAACGCGTTACGTGAAACGACACCGACGTGACGTGATTAATTTATTATTAAGAGAATTAAATTAGGTCACAGTAAAATAAAAATATCTTTTGGTGGTGTTGTGCTTCTGTCGTTGAGTAAGGTTCCAGGCAACGATAATCAATACCATAGATACACCAACACGAACAAAATCGTACCCGAAACCTATCCAAAAGGTACATTGAACGATCCACTTAGCTCCGTAATATGATCGCGTAGTCAAAATCAATATAAGGCATTATCTAAATATTGAAAGTAACCTTTAATACATACTGTATAAGGTCTTAAATAAAACGCATGCGTCAATGACTTCTGACACTTCGAAATGCAAGCTCGTAAAATTTTACGACTTATTGCTATATGCGGAAGTATTTAGACCCTAGATCTTTGATTCTACGCACAATTCTGAACGCGCTGTTAGCAATATAGCAGGCACGGACCGTGAGGAAAAGAGACGGCTATATGGCGACGTATAACCGACCATGCATTTGAATATCACGAATATTTTATATTAAATCAGTTTATAGTAAGTAATAGATCAAAATTTACTTCAAATGTGTTAAATTAACAAACATTCTCTAGATACCTGTCGAAAACACGACACTTTTAGTACTCTAAGTATTATTATCGCATTTTTTCGCGGAGCTCTGTGGCATCTTGACTTTGTAACGGTCCGCGTGTGACTGTGAACCAAGAAATGCTTCCGTGGAGTTCAAGCACTTCTTCATTGGGACACATTTTGAGCGCTCGTGGTGTATCGAGGCTATTTAATATCGTTGGTTCCATGGCTCCACGGGGTAACGGAGCAACGGTGCGAGTGATATTTTCGGTACCACAAGCGTATATAGACTATGGTGGCCGCTTACAATCCAGCGGGCCATAAGTGTCGTCGCACACGGGCCACCGACCACAACCACAAAACACCGCCACCGGCATATTTCTTGTAGTTTTCATACATTTTATATAGACCCGCCACACACCTTAAAATATACCAGAAATAAATTTAGATTTGTTACGCCATGTATTGTTAATATCACTCTAATGCCATTTGTCATTCATTTACATTTGTAATATAAAAGTGACTTCATGAGATAACTCATATTGAAGTCATTTTTCAATGGTGTCGATTCGGGCAGGATTCTCTAAACTTAAAACTAAATTTTAGATTAGTCTGTCCTTTTCATTCTGTATAGAGAATGACAGGGATACACTGTTGTCAAATTTAAGTTTAGCTTTAGAGAATCATGCCAGAATCGATACCAATATCAGATAAGTACTGCCTGCACATTTACCATTTCTGGCATACTATTTTTTTACTTACAATCTAAAATTAATATAAAAATAACTAAATATGTATTTTAAATATAAAAATATATATCTAGCACACTTATCTATCAATTGTAAAAGTCGAATACCAAGAAATAACAAAAGCTAATAAATTCAATAAACAATGTCAATATTATTCCATCATGTTTTTTATCGAGTTTAACTGTCAAATTCTATAGTAATTTGACAATTGTGCGTGAAAGAAACGCGTTATATATCATATCGAGATGCTCATGGTAACTGGATGGGGGCTGGATTAAGGCATATATTATTTTTTATCCCAGAAAATGTGAGGTTTCTGTGAGATTCCCGAAAAAACCGAAGCTAAAGCGGAGGAAGTCACGGGCGCCCGCTAGTAAATAAATAAATACCAGTATGGATATCACCCATCCCTCAATGTCTCAAGTCGAAAGTCTTCAACCAGTGCGTCCTGCCAGTCATAACATACGGCGCCGAGACGTGGACACTCACTGCTGGACTGGTCCACCAGTTTAAAGTCGCTCAGAGAGCTATGGAAAGGGCTATGCTCGGAGTATCCCTGAAGGACCGCATCAGAAATGATTCAATCCGACAGAGAACCAGAGTCACCGACATAGCCCACCGAATTAGCAAACTGAAAAGTGGCAGTGGGCTGGTCACATTAGCCGCAGAACTGACGGCCGATGGAGCCGTAAAGTTCTTGAGTGGAGACCGCGACTCGGTAAACGTAGTGTGGGACGCCCTGAGACAAGATGGGATGATGACATTCGTAGGCTGGCTGGAGTGGGCTGGATGAGAGTGGCTGATAATCGGGAGCAGTGGCGTGCATTAGGGGAGACCTATGTTCAGCAGTGGACGAGCATGGGTCGATGATGATGATGATGGATATCTTGGTATTTATTACAGAACAGACGAATTTTCGACATGATTTGCTCGGTCTAGTTTTGAATATTGTAAGCCAAGAAAGGGCCCCAGTCTGGGGTATTAACCTCCACCTTATAGAACCACAGCAAAATAACACTACCTTTTGGTGGTGTTGTGTTTCGGCCGGTGAGGAAGGTTCCAGGGCTCCAAGGGGTAGGAGATTGTGTCAGGGTCGGCAACAGTGCGAGAATATTTTTTCCAGCGTCTGCAGCTATGATGGCCGCTTACCATAAGTGTCACTGCACACGGGCCACCGACCACAACCACAAAACGCCGCCACCGGCATATTTCTTGTAGTTTTCATACCTTTTTTATGGACTCGCCACACACGGTACGCCGGTGGCCGCCACACGCTACAAATCGTCGTTGCTCGCTTCTTGTGGCCTGCATCGGCCACTTAATGCGCTGATACAAAACGTCGCCACACGTCATTTGCGCGATTCCCCACCCCTCTCTCCCTTACCTTAGTCGGCCGCTGTCGCGCGCTTCAGCCACTTAAGTAGCCGCTTCTAGCTTCTCGTGGCGGCGTTTGTGGCTGTGGCGTGTGGCCCGTGTGCGGCGACACTAAGGGAGGCCCTGTACTTGTTTACCACACTTTTAACATAAAAGTACGTAATATAATACAAAACCCTTCTCATTTAGTCGGTTCGTCTAACTCGGTTTTTAATTACATACGTTGGTTAAGGTATAAGAAACAATTTTGAACTTTTCCATACCCATTAACGTATGCAAATATATGTGTACCGACACGATGAATACATTAATCGTGTCACCATCGTTGACCCGACCATTGTCTGTCACATTATATTTTGTCGGAAATTGAATTAACTCTTTAAAAACACCGCTTGTTGACAGTTTCTCTTTAAATCGTAAATAAGTATGAATGCGAAAACCATGCATTGTTCATGATTTTAAAGATACTTGATACAGGAGATGTAATGGACATCTTATTTCCCGGTCCAATTGGAATGGGAAAGCACCCGTCTGGGGAATTTGTTATTCATCATCATCGGCATATTATAGTTCCTACTGCTGGAACATGCCTCCCCTATGTATGGAATAGGGAGAATGACCTGTGACCCAACACGGCCATCCAATACGGATTGAGCAGATGTAGCCCGGAACAACGGCTTAACGTGCCTTTCAAAGTACGGATTGAACATTATCTTTTATTGTTGTTGTGCCTCTGTTAGTATATTTTCTGGGTCTTCATGGTGTAAGAATAGGTACTAGGCAGGGCTGGACAGGTACACACACAATCACGCTTTGGTCCACATTCCTAAATTGGTACTGCGGCGATCTACCCTGAAGGGATAGATCCTGGGGGCGTAGTTTTATCAAATGGCAAACAACTAATATGTTTTAACTCTTTTATTTTATTAGAAATGAGGCAAATATAATAATTGAGCTTAATCTATCAACATATGGTTTGGTGCCTGAAGTCTATCTCCTTCTATCAAACGACAGAAGATTCTCAATTTCAAATCATTAAAAATCATGACATTAGCTTTTTAATATAACTGCCAGCCGTAGGCATTACATGAACAAAGAGTTTACACCCAAACAAGGAGGCTGTAACGCAACGGAAGTTACAGTACCAAGAACTAGGTTGAGCGATTTTAGTTGAATGAACGCTGAATTTCATGAAGAGATGCCTAAACCAAAAGCTCATCCCACCTTGTGTGAGAATCACATACGTGGACGGAAAAGGACATACGTGGGAGCGGCAAGATCTTACAAGAGGCATCTTGGTTGAGTTCAATACTAAGAAGATCCAGGTATGCCCTTTGTCTTCGTCGCCTTCTCCTTCCCTCTTTTCAGGGCACAGCACTGGTGCTACAGAGCAGCAACACCATGCTCGGGTATGGACTTTCGCTGTGACCTGAATCCAAGAGACAAAACAAAACAAAACAGTTTCACAAAAACTCCGAGTATTGAACAAGGTGCGGCATTTTTTTACGCCCGATCAACTGTGCTTGTTGTGCGGTCCTGTATAGAATATTGCTCACACCTCTGGGATGGCTTCACCAGGTACTTACTCAATGCTCTGGATAGGTTACACTGGCATACGACTAGCATTATTGGCGATGAAGAGATGAGTAAATACTTCGAGCCTCTTTAACTACGCCCTGATTAAACGCGTTCTATCATCTATACCACGGCGAGTGTTCTGAGGAGTTATTCTCTCTTATCACACCTTCCCCTTTCCTTCAGAGGATCACACGCACAGACCTTCATTGCCACCGGCTTACTATGACAACGATTCCGTACGAACAAAGAGATTTAGCGACTCATTTCTTTGTCGTACTATTCGCAAGTGGAATTTTATTCCTGCTCACGTGTTTCCACCCTCCTACAATGTGGGGTCCTTTAAAAGAGGCGTGAAGAAGCATTTCTGCAGGCCGGCAAGGTGACGATGGTTGGCGTGGCAGTTCATAACTGGTGTACCGGATATTTTCTGGCATCTGGACTTTACCACCAATTTTTATCAGCTGGGATAGAGTCATTTGCCTACCTATCAATAAAAAAATTGTATGCACGGACCAAATATCTAAAGTGAAACTTCATTTCTTAAATTACTTGACCCTTATTGTTATATTTTGGCCAATTCACTCAATGACTACATAAATTATTATCTATATGTTATTATCATGTATGAGCTATATTATTGTGAAGTTTCATTAAAATCTATTCAGTATTTTTTAGGTGAAACAGTAACAAAGATGGTTGGTGGTTAATATACAACTTTAAATCGTTGTAGATCCTAAACAGTCATATAAAATAAAAAATGGTGTAGGGAGCCTAAACATGATTTTCGATTATCTAGACAGTGATACCCCATTTGACATATTTCGCCAACTTTTTTTTTACTTCGTCACAATATGGCGTCTAATTCCATATTGAATTTTGATTACTATCGTATCTTTAGTAGCACTCCCATGATTAAGACGAATCGATTGATGTATGAATCATCAAAATCAGTCCACGCGTTTGGTCTCTAGTGTGCCACAAAGGAACAAACATACATATATAGACTGTTAAACACTATACCCTGTCTGCGCGTCGCGCTTCGCGCTCTTGCATTGCGCAGTCGGGTAAAAACGTAACATTAAACGGTGCAAGGCATAGGGGAATTGAGCAGCGCACGCTTCACTCATATCTATAAATATATCTATATACACATATATATAGTCGTATGATGCTCATGACGCATTTCCGTTCATCTTTTCCATAGCATTTTTCCATTTACACCCCGTCCTAAAAAAAAGAAAATTCACTTCAAAAACAGTTTATAGTTTAACTAGCTGACCCAGCGAACTTCATCATAAAAGTAGGGGTTGGTGGTAGTGGGTCAAATTTAAGGGTTATATGTATTTTTAATGCCACATTGAAAAAAAAATTTAGGGGTGGACAACCCTTATCACTTAGGGGTATGATGAAAAATAGATAGTAGCCAATTCTCAGACCTACTGACTACCTATCGGTCAGGCCGTTTCGTAGGATTATGGTAGCTAACATTGTGACACGAGCATTTTATATATAAGATATCTTTGCCTTCAATAAAATAGCTTAACCTAACAACATCTAGCATTATAAGTTTAAGAAACCCTTTGAAAATGAAAGGAAGTATTTTAAGAAAGCTAACTCTAAAACTAAGTTTGGTATAGTTGTGATTAGATCCATTTTTCTTTTCTTTTTTCAATTTATGTTGTGTTCTTTGTGTTCTAGTTTTGTTTACATATTCATCTTTCAATCAGTGAAACAAAAACAACTGTTAAATTATTCTACAGCATTAATATTATAATAAAGGTACATACTTCTAAAACATTTAATTTTGAAAATGTTAACTTCGTTTTCGATTCAGTTTTACGATTCCTTACATTGTTTACTTTGTTTTCGATTAGAACGATCGTCTTTTATTTTCAGGGTTGTATTATTGTTGATTTGAATTAACAAGTAGACACCGTTAGGTCACGACCACTCGTACCCAATTTACAAGTCAAAACGTATGGTGGAGCATTCGGCTTGCCCTTTAATACAAATTGATTATTTTTTATGTATGTTTATACATATTGTATGAGCCGTCCAGTCGCACACAACATGAGTGAATACCAAACGAATATTCATTAAAAATAGTGCGATTAAAATAGAAAAGGTTTGGAGTTAAAGTTTTTAGAAACATAGTTTTTTTCAAGAACAGTCTTAACAGTGATCCACTCCAATGAATTATGTTAGGTTTTGAACACCAAAATTTTAATTCAAATCCAAATTTTTGACCCGATTTTAATACAAAAATGTTGCAATAAATAAAATAGATAGGTTTATTCTATCTGGGTTTTGTTTTTATTATTCAATTTTCAATAAAAGACCGCGTCTTTTATTAACTCTTAAGCGTAGTGTGAAAGACTACGTATTCCTCGAAATAAAGTGGTATTCCCAACTTGGGTGGGGTGTATTATGGTTGGTAACCGGTCGCTTTTGTTGTAGGTATTAGGATCTTTTTTAATTTCATGTTTTTTTATAAAGAAATTTTTGTCACTTGCCAAGGATGACGCAAAAAGCAATGGTTTTATTTTATCAACTTTTACTTTGTATTACACTAGCGGCCCGCCCTCGCTTCGCTTCGGTGTAGAGCTGAAGTGTAGACTACAGTTTTTGTTCTCAGGCTTGTATTATACACAATGACATTTATCTATGATTCTTCTTATACCTGCATGCAAAGTCTCAGCCCGATCGGTTTAAAATTGAAAAAGCTTCATACAAACTTTCATTCCCTACTTTATTCCTTTGGAGGTAGAATTGATCAAAATCCTTTCTTAGCGGTTGCCTACGTCATAACATCTACCTGCATGCCAAATTTCAGCCCGATCCGTCCAGTGGTTTGCGCTGTGCGTTGATAGATCACTATGTCAGTCAGTCACCTTTAAGTTTTATATATTATTGATAGATAAATTTAACAACTTTCTCCCCTCGTTGCACAATAAACTGTTTCTCCCCAACAGATGGCACCAACCACAGTACCAGAGGACAGGCTGACCTCCGGCCACCGGCTCTCGCACCCCGCACCAGGAGATGAGGTCTACATCACCGGCATGTCCGGCTACTTCCCGGACTCAGACTCCGTCAAGCATCTGCAAGAGAACTTGTTTAATAAGGTAGGTACTATGGAGTTCTACCCGGAATGGATAGAACCTGGGGACGTAACTCTTCAGTAAAACAACTAGACGATGGTTATTATTTTATATTATCATTCAGGCGAATATAAAGAATTATTTTATCTAAATACGAGAGGTTTTCTTGGTGCCTGAAGATCTAATCTTGAATGGAATCTTCTATCAAAAGACAGACGATTCCTTATTTCAAATCTTAAAATCATGACATTAACTTTTTAATATAACTGCCAACCGTAGGCATTGCAAAAGCAAAGAGTTTACCTAAACAAGGAGGCTATAACGTCACGGACGTTACAGTACCATAATCACGATCTTAAAAGACAACCGACAATTTGACGACCTCCGTGGTCGAGTGGTTTGTACGCCGGGTTTCATGGTGTCACCGACTCGAGAGGTCCCGGGTTCGAATCCCGGTGGGGGCAGATGTTTGTGTGATGAATACGAGCATTTGTACTCCAGTCATGGATGTTTAATATGTATTTCTTCATAAATATACTTATATATGTACTGTATATGTATTCTATCCGTTACCCTAGTATCCCATAACACAAGCCTCACAGTGCTTACTGTGGGGCTAAGCTAATTGGTGTGAGTGTTGGAAATATTTATTTATTTTATCATCGCAAGAAGCGCTTAACCTCTGAGTCAGAATCCGTAGCCCATCTGTAAGCAAACCTGTTCATTATGGTGAATGTTTTCTTTTATTATTATTAATAAGAAACAAACAGTCACACATGTTAATAATTGATACAGAGATATCATTGGTTAAAAGACCTACAGTTTCATTGATTAATTCAAGTATTAATTTATCCAGTATAGCATTAGTTAGCAATTTAAACAGCAACATACTCATTTAAGCTCAAGGCATCACATCACATACATAAGAAATAAAGTGCATAACAAAAAAGAATTAAGCGGCAAGGCATTGTTCAAGCAAATGTCCGTAAAGTAACACAAGAATAAGTACTAACTTATTTTACAAATTTGAGCCTTATATGAGTTCAGATGGCGCAACTGGTTAGCGCGTTCGGCCGCGATCGTTGAAGTTAAGCAAATTTCGCAGTGGTCGGTCATTCGATGGGTGACCTAAAATTTAATATCTCAAGCTCCTCCGTGCTTCGGAAGGCACGTTAACCGTTGGTCCCGGCTGCATCTGCAGTCGTTAGCACCCACCAATCGGCACTGGGCCCCCGTGGTGGGTCATGGCCCAATCTACCTATTCCATCCATAGGGAAGGCCTGTGCCCCAGCAGTGGGGACATTAATAGGCTGATGATGATGATGATGAGTTCAGATCGATCTGAGTGGCGTGCATTTGGAGAGGCCTATGTCCAGCAGTGGACTCAGATAGGCTGTTGATGATGATGATGATGAGTTCAGCATTACTCCTTCTCCTAAACTTATGTTTGGATGTCTCAAAAATACCAAAATTAGTGAAAAAGTCATTGTAAAGTGCGCAGTTCATACATGATATAAAGAGGCTGACCTTAAAAAACAGCAGACAATAGGGTATTTGACAGTATTAAAAATAAAGTGCCAAATGTTAGCATGTGTTTAGAATGAATATTGGCATGGGTTTATACTATTTTTACAAAAAAAATATTGATAATTTTACTAAAAACCCACGAAAAAATAATAGTTTTCTTATCTATTGTCACGTGACCCAAAACGCTTGGGATTGGCGGAGCCTAAAATGACGTCACACGCAAGTAAACTTTCGGTTAAAGTGACATTACATTGTATCGTTTGTCGTTTTAATAACAGTCGTGTGACGTATCACACTTATATTGTACAGAGAAACGTTTTCGCGGCAATTAGAAAATGGAGTTTTTGATTTGGTTATTTTTACTGAAATACACAACAGAATGATGAATATCCACATTTTACGGACTCCATAAACATTAGACAATAATGTGAGATCGTTTTCTAAAACTTGTCAAATACCCTGTTATAAGGAGGCAGATTTAAAAAAGTTATTTCACAATCACAAAGAGATCATCACCAAAGAGAGAGAGAAGAGATCATCTCAAAATTATACTCGGTCCAGGTCCCGTCATAAACTTATGGCCCGATTACATTTGGACGTTAGCCCGAATATGAGGACCAATGGAATTCGGGTAAACGACTAAGTGTAAATAAACGGAGTCGAGTACACCCATATTCGGGTAGATTTCCTTTTGTTTACTCGACACCGTCTTCCAGCCTGTATTCCAGTGTAAATATTGCTTCGGGTGCCAGGGTAATGTCTTTCGTGCATCTGAATACGGGCTAACGACCAAATTTATTGCGGCATTGGACCAAGTGGTTATTTTTTTATAATTTAAGTTCTAATAAGAATTTCAAATTTATATTGGCAATAACATGGTAGAAAATCTCAATTCTTCTGTAAAATTCTGATGAGTTTCTCACGCCCATTTCTCTTCAACTAAAAGATATCATCATGCCATGATGTGTGATCATATCATCATCATCAGTCTATGTCCCCACTGCCGGGACACAGTCCTTCCCCATAGATGGAATAGTGAAACAGGGCCGTGACCCACCACGCGAAAAGCAACGAAACATGTCCTAAACAGACAAAAACAAGTTCTAATAAAGTACCTTTAATCTACACATTTCCGTGTTCTTCGCAAGGTCGACTTGATCTCCGGCGACGACAGACGCTGGAAGCTGGCTCATCCTGAGATCCCGCAGCGTACCGGCAAGATCAACTACGTAAACAAGTTTGATGCGTCCTTCTTCGGCGTGCATTATAAGCAAGCACACACCATGGATCCCATGTGCAGGATCCTACTGGAGAAGGCTTATGAAGCCGTCGTTGATGCCGGTAAGTCATTTAAATTTGTTGTTATGAAACGATTAGCTTTGATCTTAGCAAATAATGTTTTAATCAATATCTGGAAGTTTAAAGCGTCCTTCTTTTGTGTCTTCTAACCTCGCTTCGATGAGACAATGAGCAGGCACTTAATCCTTCTGGGGCGTCGCTAGCTTAAAAGTATTGAGTCTCAACAACATTTCATTTTCTTTTTATTAGCAAAAAATTCACGCGGTCCAGGCAGAAACTCGAACCCGCACCCTATCCGGGCAGATGCGCTAACCATTATTCTACCGTGACCTTAATGGCTGTATCGAATTTCTTCTATTGTTTCATAGGCTGCAAGGCAGCGCCATATCTTCGAATTGTAGGTAACACATAATTTTAAACCAAATGTTTAATTTGGTTTGAAAATGTGGGAGTCCCATCTGCTGCTTGGACCACGTTTCTAGTAAATTTTTGATTGAACGTCCGGCAAATATATTATATTTAAAAAAATATACTAGATAATAAGGTCAACAACATTTGCTTAGTCTATTTTTAAATCTACCAGACTTAAAGCGGAATTACATTTGGTTGTTAGCCCGAATTCGGGTGCACGAAAGACTAATCGAATTCGGACACCCGAAGCAATTTTTACACTAAAATACTAGCTTGAAGACGGTGTCGGGTAAACCTGAATACGCGCGTACTCTACTTCGTTCATTTATTTTTACCGTTGCCTTGGTAGACTGCTCCTAGCTTCCGGAAGCGATTCTGGTGACTGGAGAAGTCGTGCCCGTTGGTACGCCACACTCCTGCATTCCATAATGACATGCTGTGGCGTTTCTTTTGCCTCCATGTATCCTCTGCATAGGGGACTGTCTGTTACTCCTATTGCATATAGGTGTTTGTTTAGAGGACAATGACCAGTCAGGGTTCCTATATTCTTGCGAAGTTTGTCCCTATTTAATCTGATAAGGTGCGGGCAAGTCTCTTGTAGTCATGTACCCGTTCCATTGGCACTCGTATTCAAGCTAATGACCGAGTGTAATCGGGCCATTAGGCTTTGTTGCTTCCATTGTCGCCAATGCATGGAAGAAATTTCTTTAATGTCTGAAGTTACGTAAGTAATCATTTGATACGTATCTGTCTATGTCATTAGTTAATCATGTATCTGTGATATGGTTGTTTGTACATATAATCAGATTTTCGTTTTTACTATCACAAGTACTGCAACTCCTTCTTGTATTTTGATTTCTGATCAACAATGAAATTTAACATAACATTTCTTCATTTCTATAATGAAACGCAAATCCGTAAACTTTTCTGTAATGTCCAACAAAATAAGGATAATTTATAGTTAAGTTTGATATTATTATACGCACCTACTCTCGTCTGTGCAAAATAAATATGTGTACACAACATCACAAACATAAACACTCCCAAGCTCGTTTGAAGTAATGGAACTCCGAAACCGCAAAGGTCTTCTAAAGAAACCTATTGGAAAGGAAGTAAAGGAAGTAGGGACCCACTTTTACATCAAACCCCCCCCCCCCTTGTTAACGGAACCGTACGGAACGATGTTTAAAGGAGACCGCGCCCGTCAAAAGTTACGGTACCCCACACAACAATGTATAAATATTCCGTAAGGAGTTTATGGCTAAAATGGGATCTGAGGGAAAAATGCGCCCGCTAAAGTTAGCCCACTCGATTTGATAAGTGCCATCCGTATTACTTACCAAAGGCACCCTGTCACACCGAACTGAACTCCTTAAGCTTTTAACGCGCCTAGTCGAACTCGTTCGCGTGCACTTAAATCTGCTGGAAAACGTTTTAAAGTACTTATTTGTGCAACTCTTGCTAAATGAGGGGTATTAAAACACCAAAGGCGAGTTTGAAGAACTTAAAATTCATGAAAAGTTTCGGCGCTGTGACTACTTAAATGACGTCACCTGCTTGTAAACATCTGTAGAACTGACAGTACTTTTTACTGCTTTCCGTTTTAATGAGAGCCCTGTGACGTCACCTGCCTGTAAACACTACACACACAGTTATGAAAACAGGATTTTAATTTTCAATTTTTTACTAATGTACGCAACAGAGTTATAATATATAAATAATATTTTGGAATCTCTATACACTAATAAGTAACATATGAATGTTTTGAAAATTTTGTCAAATAGCCCTTTTGTTTGTTGTTTTGTTTTTCAGGGCGGTTTCCGCATTTAGTCCTAATTATTAGACCATTGCGCGCGTCTCGAAACATTCCCGTTTACCGTTGCCTTGGTAAACTGCTGCAAGCTTCCGGAAGCGATTCTGGCGACTGGAGAAGTCGTGCCCGTTGGTCCGCCACACTCCTGTATTCTTCTGCCTCCATGTATCCTCTGCATAGGGCACTGTCTGTTATCCTATAGGGTTCCTATATTCTTGTGAAGTTTATCCCTATTAACAGGGCCGGATTTAGGATTGTGAAGGCCCCGGGCCACTTAGGATTTGTATGCTTATTGACCCATCGAAATGTTGTTATTTCTTAAGCTGTTGTGGAGGCCCCTGGGCCATAGTCCCACCTGCCTTAAATTCGGCCCTGGGTAAAGGTAAAAGAGCAAAAAAAAAATCAAAAGAAAAGATGTTTACTAGTGTTTACTAGTTGGAATTTGAAAGATTTTTTTTCCGAGGTCTCTATTTATGGGGGCCCCCGTTTGTGGAGGCCCCGGAGCTTTCGCCCCGGTTGCCCTCCCCTAAATCCGGCAGTGCCTATTAATCTGATAAGGGTGCGGACAAGTCTCTTGTTTTTGTCAAATAGCCTATTATCATGTTCTGGAGGTGTAGCACTTCGGTGTAATTCGTGCGCGTTTTGTTCTCGCTCGGGCTACGCCACCTTCTTTGTTAATAATGAGCCCAATTTGTCTCATCGAAACTCGGAAGCCGACTCTCGATAGAATTGAATTCGTTTCGGTCATTGGTAGAGACGATTTAGTATTCGATAGCGTTTTCGGGGCCTTTCAGGGTGCTGGCTGTATGGCCTCAGTTATTTACCTGAATTACCAGATTAGAAACCGAAGTAGGCCACAGCAGATTCGTTCTTAGATAAATCTTTCCAGAAGACTACAAATCACACTATCGAATTAGTATTTGTGTTCAGCGATGTAGGTACCTAATTTTGAATTTTGAGAGGATGTTTTAGTGATCATCATCATCATCAGCCTATTAATGTCCCCACTGTTGGGGCACAGGCCTTCCCTATGGATTGAATAGGGAGATTGGACCACGACCCACCACGCGGGCCCAGTGCGGATTGGTGGGTGCTAACGACTGCATAAGCGGCCGGGATTAGCCGTTGGGCTTAACATGCTCTGAAGCACGGAGGAGCTCGAGATAGGAAATTTTTGGCCACCCATCCAAAGACCGACCACTGCGAAAGTTTCTTAACTTTAACGATCGCAGCCGAACGCGCTAACCACTTGCACCATCAAGCTTCTGTAATTATGATTTTTTCAAATTTTAAGTAGAATTCATATTTTTATTTATTATTTATATTTCGGTACCAGGCCTTTATGCTTAGGAGTACCATAATAAACATCTCATAATTTTATCAACATTTAACGAGTTCTGGTTACAAAGGTATCTTACATCCCTCTTTCAAAGGTTGGAAGGTTTTGATCGAAAACTTTTAAAGTGTTATATTTCAGTAATAATAGTATAGCAGGAACTCAGAAAGGCGTATTTTATATTACGGAAACTTTTATCAGCTATGACGGCCGCCCGCAACTCCGTCCGCATAAACTTTAGTTTTTTTAAGAATCCCTCAGGATTTCATATTTTTTTTCGGGATACAAAGTACCCGATGTCTCAATACAATACATTACACATTTTTTTATTGAAAACACCACAGTAACAGTACATAAATGGGGTAAATACATTATGTTAAAACATAGTGATTCAATGGGCGGTCTTATCGCTAAAAGCGATTTCTTCCAGACAACCTTTGGATGGAGAGGATTGAAAGAAACTGGAGTCGGTGGTGTTATAAAAATAAAAACAAGGGGTATAAAAATGTATATAACTATATATATTAAATATTTAAATACATACTATACATACATAATATATACACACAATATAACTATAAGATATATATACATATAATATAAATATATGACACATACATACATACACATAAATATAAGTTTAGTCCAGTCAGAAAAAAAAAGAAAAAAAAGTAAAAATAAAAATGCAGTTACATCGACAAATAATGGTTGAAAACAAGATTTTTGAAAATATAAATAGATTGTGCTCGTCTTATGGTTACTGGAAGAGAATTCCACAGGCGAACAGCTTGGACGGCAAAAGAACGAAGAACAGTTAATTAACTGTATGTGTGCCAAATTTCATCCAAGTCCGTTTAGCCATTTTTCAGTTATTGAGTCACAAACAAACTTATTATTTTAAAAGAAATACCATTAAAAACATCGTATCTACCAAATGAGAATCTTTCACTTAGGTTGGTTAATCTGTTTACTTTTTTGTCATTATCATAGAGAAAAGTAATATTACTAGAAAGTCATTATCCACCACTGTACTAAGGTCCCCCAAGCCAGGAATGCAGTAGTTAATTAAATAAAACTTAGATTCCGGAACGTATCTATAGACAATTTATTTCGAAATTATTTAAACCCTATATATTTCAATTGAACTAAACCATACCGTGAGTACAAAATTAAATCAGCTCCATCTATGGGACAAACGAAGTAAACATTTTATATAAAGTACCACATTGGACAATTCATTAATGATTTAATATTTTTATTAATTTGTAATTTTATATAATTAATTAATTATATTCATAATTTTAAATTTAATAATAATTTTATTTATTTGTTGATAATTACATATAGGTGATTTGGACTGATATAATTCGTTGAAAATCCGAACTAATACTTAAAAATGCGAAACATTTACGTATTCACAAAAGATTTGACACTTTAAATAAGAAAATAACCCTTTTTTACTACAAGTTCGCAATGATGTTG